ACTACCTATGTCATAGATTCCTTTTGAGACATCTTTCCAATTTGATTGAGTCAAATTCTGGGTAGCTACGGGAGATCATGAAGCATATTTGCACGCTAAGGCATGCATATGCAAACTTCCTGTGCCCATCAGTGGCCGAGTCTTTGTTATGAGCTGAAAGCGCCCTGATCGGTGACCCCATATCCAACCGGCCAGGACATACAGCATGATGCTAGACAACGGAAAAGGATAGAGCAAAGCCGTCGACTCTTAGCTTGGTCTTACATAGCAAGGTAGACCTGGACCTGGACGGTTCATGGCTAGTAGCACAGCCTGGTGTTTAACCTGGATCAATGTTGAAAAGATGATATAAGTCAATACACTGATACCAAAATAATTTCCACTGAGAATTGAAAAATTAGCGCTTTAAATCCTTGACTATTAGACTCCATGTTCGAGATGAACATCTCCCCGCGCATGAGCTCATATGCATCAAGGAGTTGCAGTCTATCAAGCTAGCTAGCCCTCCTCAACAGAACAACAATAATAACAACGAGAACGGAGAACCCACGCAGATGCAGTCTTCCTCAGACAAGGGACTTAATCATAGTATAGGTTTTCACGTCTCATCTACCCCAGTAAATGTTTGTTCACCGCCGTCAAAGGTTCCTTCCCTAGTAGTACTTCAATGACGTTTCGGATAGCCAAATCCTCAAAGCCGATTCTCGTCTCAACAGCTCCACCAGCGGTGTGACATGTCAGACTTACATCTCTCATGGAGATCAGACGCTTGTTGATGTGAGGCTCGTTCGAGTGTACATCGAGTCCAGCAGCGAAAAGATGCCCTGACTCTAGCGCATCAGCCAATGCCTCCTCATCTACCAGGTTTCCACGCCCAACATTGACCAATCGAGATCCTGCTTTCATCTTCGCTAGGCGTGAGGCATCCATAAGGGCCTTGCCACCTTCTGCGTCTCCAGGGGCGGAAATAACCACACAATCTGCGACAGCGAGCATGGAGTCCAAGTCTGGGTATCTCACTGCTTTGACAGTGGCTTCCTGCTCCGCTTGCTTGAGGATAGGATCGACATATGCTATCTTCATGCCAAAGGCGGCAAATGCCTTCTGTGCAATGCGATAGCCGATGTTTCCGAGGCCAATGATGCCGAGTGTGTGCCCTGCAGGGTTGTGTGCTGTCTCGCTATTATGCCGGTGTGCATCAAGGAACTGGTCTGCGTTACCACTACGTGCTGCCGTATTGGTCCATTGCATGTTGCGGAACACTGATATAATGTGGTAAAGCGCCATGTCTGCCACAGCTTCTGACGATGCTGATGCTCCATTGCAATACAAGATTCCTGTTGTTCATGTCAACAAAACGTCTCGAAGATGTTGAGAAGGAAGGTAGTGGTGTACCTTTTCCAGCCAAGATACCAACATCTGCCCAGTCATATCCAGCACCTGCGGAGGCAAAGACTTTGACGGAGGAAGGCAGGAGAGAGATGAGCTCTTTGTCCCAACGGCCCATCTCACCGCCTGAGTTCCAAAAGGGTCGCAGGATCGCTGAGAAGTTGCCCCATTGCTGTTCCTTCAGGGCCTTCAAGAAGGCGTCCCTCTGCCTCTCTTCTATGGTTGGCCTGATAATTGTAGCGATCTCTTCCAACGCCCTGTATCGCTCTGGATTATACTGTATAGGGTCTCCTATGTGGAGTACGATTGGCTTGATAGCACTAGGCATCTTATGGTTGCGTTATTATTCAGAGATTTTCTGAGTTGCTGGGCTGGGAAGAGTCTCGATCTATCTTGCAATACGTCGTGTACCGGTGGAGACACGCGGTCAAAATGTGCTGGTTTACAACAAAGTCCGATGAGATGGGGATTCAGAGTCTTTAAACCTTGGAACATGTCAAAATATCTGCCCATTCATGTCCTTCTGCAGAAAAGCACGGTATTCGGGCAAAGTTCCCGCCATACTCAGCGATATCGGGGACTTCTCCGAGCACATCATGCAAGCCCTCGCTTGGTTTCCTTACACCCTCTCCCCTGTACTTGCGTGCAGCTCAACTGAATCGACCCCGCTGACAAAGCGAGGCTTGCAAGGAAGCGTGACGTATTGTGACAATACCCGACCGCTAGGACCTTTGATGCGAGCTCAGAACCTCAGAATATCCGATTCCCGAGCCGTAGGCCCAACCAGTGCTGTTGGCTGTATTCTAGCGGCGCCAACAGGTTGTGCTGTACGTTCAAAAGCCCTTACAGATAATCAACCCCACGATCTGGGGTTAAGCCAACGGGTATGGATATCCGGGGTTGCGGGGAAGCTGGGATCTTGATGCGCAAGTGCCCAATTCCACTAGGGTGGAATGCTGATGAATACTAAAATTCAGATATGAATGTAGACCTAGGTACCGTAACGTAGAGCTGAGCGTACGGTGGTTCTGGGAAGTGTATTAAAGCCTCGAAGGCTTGCGTAGGCTTGTCTTGTAGGACTATGAGCTCGATGGTCCGAGTCCGGATGTTGTGACAATTGCACTCGTTGCAGGCAACTTCTCAAGCACCACATGACATAGTTGATGCTACCTTCCTTCCAGTATCAACACCCATGTCTCAAAACAGCCAACAAGATTACTTTCCGATGAAGCCCTGTCGATCTATCTGTTCATGGTACAGTAGACCAAGATCATGCGAGAACCGACCGGCTCGTAAGCACGTTCCGACCAACCAATCCACTCGCCTGGCCTGATTTCAGCACACATCTGACTATTATTGCCATGTAGCCATTCTTCTCGCACGAGATCCACTGCTAGAACAGATTCTCCACGATTTCTTGCGGGGTAAGGAACTAGGTCTGAGCAATAAGAAAGTTGTATCCGTGAGTAGGTCGCGGATATCGGCAAGCAGTCCGATGACCTCTCTTCGGTCGGCCGTAAATAAGTATGTGACTACGTCCGAGCCTCATTCCACACCAATGCGTCCATCTCAAGATCGAACGCACTAGAAATTCTCATTTGCACACAAGGATGGCGTTGAATGACCTTCGTAAAGACGACACTCTGGGCCTTCATATCGAAACGCTCGATCACCCACTGAAATCAGACATATCCCAGGATGTACCCATCGAGAACAGGGACTTGAAAGAGCGACGCCTTGTGCGGAGGATTGACGTTCGGATGTGAGTGGCTCGATGGCTTATCGTACGTAGTCTGGTGTGTCTGACCGCTGTTTTAGGATGCCCTTGATGATGCTACTCTATAAGTTCATCCAGATTTTTCATAGCGGAGCTCTCACTGACATGGTTACTGAGAAGTACATGTGCTCAATTACTTGGACCGCAACAATGTAAAGCAATGTGATCTTCGCTACAAGGAATCACACTAACTGTGATCAGATCGCGACAGCCCGTCTAGGAAACTTTGAAAATGACATCGGTCTGGTTGGAACCCAGTACAATACCATTATCAGTGTCTTCTTCGTTGGATACATCCTCACACAGGTTCCCACAAACATGATTCTCAACAAGATGAGACCCAGCATCTTTCTTCCAGTCGTCATGTGCTGTTGGGCTGTGGTCAGTGCCTCCACCGGCGCTGTTCAAAACTACAAGGGAGCTGTAGTTCTCCGATTTCTCCTGGGCTTTGTTGAGGCACCCTTCTTCCGTTAGTTTCCACTAATTACTATCACAGGCTTGTGGCTAACCGCGCTATAGCTGGTGCCTTGTACCTCTTCAGCTCGTGGTATACGAAGAAGGAGCTGGCTGTCCGTATTTCGGTACTTTATGCTGCAGGACAGATGGCAGGTGCTTTCGGTGGCCTTCTGGGCAGCACCATCATGGGAGGCATGAATGGAAAGCTGGGCCTCGCAGATTGGAGATGGCTTTGTGAGTTCTTCTTTTTGAAATCAGTGTCTGGTGATATTCTGACTTCATCAAAACAGTCATCATTGAGGGCACAATCCCAATTCCGGTCGCCATCGTTACGTATCTCACACTTCCGGACTATCCAGCGACTACCAAATGGCTCACCGATGAGGAGAGAAAGCTTGCTATCCTTCGAATCACCGAAGAAGCAATCGAAGAAGATAATCGAGAAGAAGCATCAGCGTTGCAAGGTCTGAAGATGACGTTTACGGATCCAGCACTCTACATGATCTGGCTCATGCAACTTGGACTCAACACTGCGGCTGCTTTTACCAACTTCTTTCCCACCATTGTAGCGACACTCGGTTACAACCAAAGAAATACATTGCTTCTCTCTGCTCCGCCATACGTGTTCGCAGCGATATTGGGCATCACAAACTCTTGGCACAGCGACAAGCATCGTGAGAGATGGCTGCACATCGTGTGGCCGCAGGTCTTTTGCAGCGTCGGCTTCATCATCTCGGCAACTACTCTCAACGTTGCAGCCCGATACACGGCGACATTCATGATGATGAGTGTATATGGCTCGTTCGGATGTATCTTGTCATGGGTCTCTACCACACTTCCTCGGCCGGCGACTAAACGAGCTGTATCATACGCTGTCGTGAACGCCGGATCTAACCTGGCTTCTATTTACGCAAGCTACTTTTACCCAAAGTCCCATGGCCCGCAGTATTGGCAGGCAAACATCATTAATGTGGCCTTCTCTGGAATGTGCATTCTTCTGGCCACTTCGCTGCACTTCTACCTGCGTTGGCGTAACCGTAAGCTTCGCGTTGCCGGGGACAAGGATCTTCAGAACGAAGGCACACGCTTGGGATCACGGTCGACTAAGTTGGGTGAAAAATGGCAGTGCCACCCTGCCTATCAGTATACTTTGTAGATGAAGCTCAAGATCCCGGAGTAGCTCCAAGGATCACTCATCTGAAACATAAATCTTTTCGCCAACTCGGTCATGGAGTGGAGCTCAGATGTTGAAGGAAAAAGAAGTGTATTTCAGTCGAAACTGAGAAATGGAAGGGTCCCTGCGTGCTATGACTAGCTCACCGTATATTACTTGAGGACTGAATAACAGTACCAAAACTGTGACTCTTTCTTCTTCCAGCTATGAAGAGGTTCCCTTTGACGACTTGATACCGGCCATTCTTTGAGGCTCATGGGGCGCGGATTAGTACTCCCCGATTGAGATTGGTGTGTCCCACATCGATACTAACATCTGCCTGTCGCCCTCCCACGGTTCTCTTCCGTGTGAGACTTGGAAGTTGTCGACTAACAAAAGATCTCCCTCTTCAACAATCAAGCTAATCTCTTCCTTATCAATGACGTCGATAAGCTTGTCAAGAAGCCTACGCGGGATCTCAGTATCGTCTCCGTAGACGCTAGGAAGATCTGGCAGCATATCAGTGAGCTTGCGTCACGTAAGCTTTCTGCAAGAACTTACAAGTCATTCCGTCACGGCCGATATGAGGAGGATCGAGAGCACCAATGTCTCGCGTAATACCATGACGCCCGACCAGGCCGTTGAACCAGACTGGCCTGCCGCTCGCTGGCAGCCTTCGTATGCCTATAGTTGAAGTTCACGTCAGATTTGAATTCCTTTCTCTTGATGCTAGCTGAGCAACATTCTGCGGGAGCCTACCGGGAATATGCTGCGTCAACTCGAGACTTCCATCCTCGTTCCATTTGAAATCTGATGTCAACTTGCGGACTTGCTTTTCAACTTTTTGCTTTGTCGTCACTTCGTCGTCGTCTGGAGTAAGTTCTTGCCCGAAGCTGTGCTCGCCAGCCCAGTTGAATTGATTGACCTTGGCTTCATTCCCAGGGGCACGAAAGACCATCTTCATCCCCAAGCCACGCTTGCTAATTTCTTCCACAAGCTCAGGGATCTCGGCTTGGACCTTTTCGAATACGTTGGCGCTGCTCGCGATTGGTGTCGCGCCGCCTTCAGCACAGAGTCAGCCAGTATGAACTATTACAGGCACTCAGGTCAACGAGATCAATCTGTCTCGTAACCTCGCAATATCGGGATGAACTCGCCTTTGGGCGCTTTCTTCACACAGTAGAAGTGAATGTTTGAAGGAAAGCGAGTGTACCTAGAGTACTGACAATTGAACGTGAGTTTACTTGAACACTCAACACATCACCTGAGGCCAACCGTGGGCGCCCTCACCTCATTGTGTTGGTAGAATCGGGTGCTTGGCGACCCCTCGTTGGCCGTCCAGACATTGTCCGCGAGTGGAGTTCTTTTGCCGGCCAGTCCAATTTGAACATGAGGATAAGAGCCTCTGCCCTTCTCAGCTGCGCCTACGAGTTTTGAGAAAGTCTCGGCTGAAGCGTTTCCTGCACCACGGATCAAGACGGCACCGTGCTTATCCAAGAGATCTTGTAGTTTTCCGGAGTCGCCCAATGCCCTAAGTGCCGCCGCAGACTCGACGACGGGAGGTACGAGACCAGTTGGCCCGCTTGACTTGACTTGTAATCCATAGGGGAGTGCGTGGCCAAAATAAGTCCTGGCGCCAGGGACCTCAAAAGCTTCGAGTTGAACTGCCATTTCGTTGCTGTGTTGAATTTTCTGTGGTCTTTTCGTACTAGGTTTGTATACAACGTTGTGGCATATTGCAATGCCTAATCAGGTTCTATGTCTACACTTATGCTACTTCATTAGCAGATACCGAAAGCATTACGAGCAGTTCGGTCCGCAGTCGGATGTGCTCCGGGTCTTTGTTCAGCCTAGACAACGTTTCATGTCATTGTTGTCCAATAGTTTGTGAGGATCGAATGGCGAATCACAGGAGCAAAGCACGACATAATCGGAATATCCCCGACTCCAACAACACCCTTGTGCCGAGTAAGAGCATGTCGCCAGAAGCAGGAAAGCGTTCGGTAGTGCCTCCCGAGCACTAGGACTAATTGAAAAGGCCCTCTGAAAAGTATTATCAAGTCCTGAGTAAGTCCGGGAGTTGCGCTCACTTTACCATGTCTTCGTGGCTGACCTCCGGGGATATTCACACGACATCTTGGCTCCATAATGGCGTGCTTCGCTTCCCGCAGCTGTGCAGACATAGACGCACGCTCTTAGCTAACATTTTCTTGGATAACGGATACCACCACTGACGCTTGAATGAGCCTCAGAGTCATAAGAGTAAAACTTCTGCATTTACTTGCTCCAAGCCTTGGTGCTGCGTTAATCAACCGATCACCTATTCGATTCCAAGGTTCGCCTTGGCGTGATTGATACCATGACGTCCAGACAAGATAGTATCCAAGGTCAGCAGAGTTCTCTGTTCGCGGGAAATAAGTTGTATCTAATCTCTTCATCTAGCTGCGCCTTTCACTCGCACTCTTAGCGATGGCGGCGAAGATTCGGACAAGGATGTCAAGCTTGGCGTTATCGAAATCAACGTCTTGCAAGAGCGGACTATTGGACTCTTCGGAGCTGTCTCCTTGATTGTCAATAAGATCATTGGTGCAGGGTACGTCTCAAGATCCCCAATCTTGGCATCTTTCCCATTTCTGACAAGCGCAGTATCTTCTCGACCCCCAGCACTATCTTCAAGCTTTCGGGTAGTGTAGGCATGGCAATGATGTGCTGGGTGATCGGAGCAATCATCTCGACGTGCGGTATCTTCGTTATGCTCGAGTTTGGAAGCGCAATCCCTAGATCTGGTGGTATCAAGAACTACCTTGAGCGATCCTTCAGTCCCCGGATTATGCAAACTTGCATCTACGTCTTCTATTGCGTCTTCTTGCGTAAGTGTCCCTGATGCTCCGTTCAGAGCATATCACGGCCAGCTTGAGGACCTTCCTAACACGCAACATAGAGGTTTCTGCAAGTAACGCCATCACGTTCTCGTCGTACATCCTTGTTGCATCAGGTGCCGACTCGACGACGTGGAAACTCCGTGGAGTTGCGATTGCTGGCGCCGTGTTCTCCGTCGGAATACACGCGGTTGCGCCTCGAACAGGAAGAGCGATCCAGGATTTGCTGTCCGCGGTGAAGCTGTTCACGCTGCTCTTTATTGTATGCTGCGGCTTCGCAGCTTTGTCCGGCCATCTGAGGGTGGATAGCCCTCACAACTTTACCAATGCTTTCGAGGGTACTTCCAACAGCGGATACAACATCGGATCCGCTATCCTCAACGTCATTTTCTCCTTTCAAGGTTATGATAATGTCAATGCTGTGAGTTTCCCATCAAATTTGGGCTGGTCATTGTGGTTTACTAACCTGCTCTTTCCAGGTATTATCTGAAGTTCGTAACCCGCAGAAGACTCTGCGAATCGCGCTTCCTCTCTCAATGAGCGTCATTGCAGTGCTCTACCTGCTAGCGAACGTCGCATATGTAAGCTCACTGACTTTCGTCACACTGTTAGACGCTGGCTAACGCAGATAATTAGTTTGCCGCCGTGCCCAAAGAGGCTTTCATCGCGGCAAAGGTCACCGTGGCCGCCACCTTGTTCGAGAATATCTTTGGACCCTCGGCAGGAGCCAAAGCTCTTCCAGCGCTGGTCGCTCTATCAGCACTGGGACATCTCCTGGGTGTTGCATTTACCATTCGTGAGTTTCTCAACCTCAGTCAGCACTGTGAGCTCAATCGACTGACTTGGCCAATCAGCCCGCCTGCTGCAAGAGCTGGCAAAGGATGGAGTGCTCCCCTTTTCCAACCTGTTCATGGAGAACAGGCCGTTTCGTACGCCCATTTACGCCTTGATTCTGCACCTTGGAGTGACTGTTCTCTTCATTTGTGCACCGCCGGCTGGAGACGCCTTCAACTTCGTCGTCAGCTTGTCTAGCTACCCGACAACGGTCTTATTGACAGCTATCACCGTTGGCTTGGTTAAGTTGCGTTTCACCGACCGGGAGAACTTCCAATCGCCGCTCCGGGCACCCTGGATTCTGATTGTGATCTATCTTGCGGCGAATATTGTAAGTGTGCCTATGGATTCAAGGACCGTTAGGTTTGATCGCTGATACCTCGTAATTAGTTCTTAATCGTGATGCCGTTTGTAAGACCGCCGAATGGTAAAGGCAGTACTTCGCTGCCGTATTGGCTTTCTTCTGTTGTTGCGTTGAGCATCCTGTCTCTTGGCATAATTTACTACGCATTGCGGTTTGTGATCGCTCCGGGACTCTTCGGTTATAGACACCAACAGATTCAGCAAGAGCTCAGTGATGGGTCCAAAGTTACTAGGTTTCAAAGGATTAAAAGGTGATAAATAGGATATTACGTCGCCAATTATAGATGAATGTGGTTATCACACTTGATCTATGTTAAACCTCATATCCATCCGTTCATTGAAGTCGTCGTTGTGCTGTGGATTGATTGTGTTGTGCTGACGGCTGGAAAGGGGCCATGGGGGGCCCAGCCAACGCCTTGTGGGGTGCTTGGCATGTCGCGATGCACGCATGCATGTGCTCGTCATTAACGCAATGGAGTGAAAGGTAATTGCAAAATGACAGTTGATCAAGCTTAAATCGAGTGATCCTGGCAAAAGGGCTCAACGTGAGGCCATCGTCATAGCTCAGAATCACGGGTAACGACAACAACCCGCCGCTATCCGCTGCATCACCATTCGATCGTGTGTTGTGACGTCGTGAAACACAGCCGCCGGGGTTCATTTGGCGCGGAAGCCAGCGTTGGCGCTGGTTGGTGGAGACTCAGCTTGGAAAATGCGTTGAGTTCATTGATGGAATTTTGGCTGAATGACATCGGCGGACAAGGGTCTCTCTCCCTCCTTACCTTGGCAACCAGCTACTACGTAGGTACTTGCCTTCTCACCAGAAAACCGCGCCCTGGCTGGCGTCGGACTCGAGCTCCCCCAAAGAGCAATAGTGCAGATGGAGACGGTGTCGAGATCAGGCTAAGCGTCAAGGTGTGAACAGGGTTGTTTGCCAGAGAAGGAAATAGGAGAAATTGGGATTAGAGATAGAAATCCAGGGACCAGAGATGACATCAACGAGGGTTTTCGGCTATGTGACGAGCTTTCGGGATAAACTTGGGTGGAGCCTACTGGTTTTCGCGGGTGGAATCGGCTATTCCATAGTCCACGATGGAGAACATCTAGAGATACGGGCTACAGATAGGCTTTGCGAATGGGGTCACGATAATAAGTTGGGGTGCCAATGTCGAGTGAGAATACGGATTGAAAATTAGGAACTGAAAAAATCGAATTGTTTCGATCACCAACAAAATGATCCCGGTAAGCCACACACCCGAAGTTACTTGCCGATTATTGTATCCGCACATGTCATAATCTCACGGTTCTCAACAGCTGCCACCAGCATCGGAAGACATTACGGCAACGGAGGACTCCGCTGGCCGTCCTCCGTCTGGTCAATGCTTCCACTTATGGTTGTCAGTCGGTCTTGTGTGTGGCGAGACGCCGACTGCAAATGCCGTTAGTAGCAAGCAAGCAAGCAAGTCGCAAACCACACAGGCACGAGGATTGAGAGCATAGACTCTGGCAGCATCGGGCACGTGAGGAGTAGCTACCACACCAGCCAAAGCCAAAACAAGTCTGCGGGGGCTGTGCTTGGATGGTCCAGGATCAATAGATGGACGGAGATGCACGAAAGATGCACAAACAAGGGGCTTCCTCAACCACCTCGAGCGTTTTGCAAAGCTCCAGCGAACCAGCAGTAGCCTTCAAAACCAAGTTCCCCAGACATCTTCCAGGAACTCCCCTGGCACGGCAATAACGATGAGCGCCTTCTCTCCTTGAGGACAACGTACAGCACTGTATCCGTAGCGCTGCAGCAATGATGAGAGAGAGAGAAAGCAAAGGTTCAGTCTTGTCCCCAGCGGCATCACGTTACTGCACCCGGGCTGTGCCGATTCCACCCCGCATATCGGTCGACATCACCCCACAATCGACACTCTGGAACGATGTCGACGCCATGCCCAATTGGGGCCGGTGCTGGACGTGGTGCGATGCTGGTGTCACACTGATTCTCATTCTGGCCGCGAATCCCGTTTTGCCTCCCTCCCCTGCGGAGATGCCTTGTACCGTACGGTATGCCGCTCCATGCTCATCTTAACCTACCGTACGCACTACGCAAGTGCTGTTGGGTACTGTGTGGGCGGGCAGTGCCATGCCATGCTTGGCCCCCCTTGGCCATGGGGGAGAGAACGGCTGGGGGTGACGGGGTTCTCAGACACAAGATTGGCGCGGCGCGAAAGGTCGAGACAGGACGTTATATGAATACATTGCTTGCCGCTGCCACCTCCTCACCAAGACGCTTGCTTTTAGCCCGAGAGAGATCTATCTAATCATCCCTTGCGATTGTAACCCACACGTAACCAAGATACAAATACCGATTTCATCCCCATCCCACACACCATCTCTTATTGAGATACCTGATCCCACAACATACAATGTTCAGACAAGCTTCAAGAAACTTCACAACCAACGCTCGCATGCCGCCGAGCTACTTTTTGCAAACTCCCCGTCGACTCGCCATGAGATGGTACGTCTTTGATCTCTGATTCGGTCCTAACACCCCAACCTGGCACCCATTCCCCTCTTCCCGGCTCCCCCGAATCCTGGGGTAAAACACCACAACCGCAACCGAGAGAGTTTGGAACTGACGAAACCGGCATAATAGGATCCCGCCCACAGTAGCAGTCGTCGCCGTTGGCTACGGCCTCAACGCCTACCGAGAAGGCATGGTCGAACGTCGCCGAGCAAAGAACGCCGCGGCGGAGAAGCAGGCAATTGAAGATCGCATGCGGGCGGCAAAACTCATGGACGCCTACGGCGACCGATCGAGTCTCGAGGAGCTAGAAAAGGCGATGGCAGTCTACGAATCCCAAAATTAAGGATCGACCGACCTCGATGTCTCAGTACAATCACTTCAACCTTTCCTTTATCACCACAGCATCATCACAACATTCGACACCAGCGGAGAATGGATCAACCTCAGCATCAGCAACGGCGTTCTACAGCGATCAAGGACATTATTCGGCGGGATCACAAGGAAACGTTTTTAACACGTGACGGGAGCTGAAGCTGCACAAATTGGCAGTTTGCATTTTCAAGGACGGAGGCATGGCGTTTGGGCAGGCGACTCTACATGGAACGCGTCACCATGATCAAAGTTCGTCATGAACTGGTGTAAATACTAGCAACCCGAGTACATATTGAATACTCAAAACAACACCTTTACATTCACAATCACTAACAAAATATTCAATGATGCACCAAGCTATTCCCACATGCACCTGATCACAGAACAGAGGATCATACCCCAGTACCCCGCACGTGTCCCATGATGGACGTGATCCTCGGTGGCGCTCACAACGTCGAGAACGGCTCCAGTCCGGGGGATACATACCGCCACACCGTCCGTTCCTCTTGATTCGCCGGCGCAAGCCACGTCTGATAACGCGTGTTGCCAAGGCTTTCAGCTGAGCTGGTTGATGCAGACACGAAATACGATGCGAGGCATGCGAAATACGTAAGTCCAGCCTGGTTGACGATGAGCCTCGATGTTTGCTCTCCCTCTTCGACTTCATATAGGATGCGGTGGTGTTGTGAGATGCCAACATGGACGTGATTTTCTATGCATCGTTGGGAGCGCCCGACTTTCCGTCGGTCAAGAACTCAACGCCAAAGCTGATTCGCAATATGGGCGGAGGCTCGTCCCGGTGAGTCTGTGACTGTGTCCATGATGGGCCCAAGATACTGACTTGAGGTAGTCCATCGCCGCCTCCGCGCGTCCCAAAGACGCTGCCTTCTACCACTATCTGGATCCAGCATTTACCTCCACTCATATCTGAGACGACCCGTCAAGTCATCCTGTCAATAATGCAGATTCGCAGTCAATACCTAACGGGGGGCCTTTCAAGCGTTGCCTCCGAGGACCTTACGTCGCTCATCGAGAAACTTGATGTCTTGATTGAGGAGGCTCGACACGCATCCAATATTCGTGACTACATCACGCTCTGTACGGAAGAGACTGTACTACGATTATTGACTGATCGCGGGCCTATCTCTCAAAAGCTGCTTGAAGTTGCACGTGCCGTGAACCCATTTCTCGGGCCACAAGGCAATGATGTGGGTAGATTGGAAGCAGGCTCTACCTCTGCGGGAGATGACAACCTGCCTGTTCCTTTTCGATCGTCTGATACGTGTCTGATTGATGAGTCTGAGAAGGACCTCTTGGTCTTGTTGTATTACTGCGATGTTGCCGATCTTGAGGGGTCCATCGAAGAGGCGCTGGCTCAGCTGTTGAAGATGGCAGAAAAGTACGGCACCATCAAGGACTTGGATCTTCGCAAAGAATCCCTTTCGGAAACCGAGGTAGTATTGATTCAGCCACAAATGAATTCTCGGCTTACCTGCGTCACAGATCAACATCCACTGGATATTGTTCTACTTAGAGAATAAGATCTCCCTAACGATAGCCGCCGGAAGAAACCCACCTGAGTCTGGAGCCAAGCTCGACTTTGAGAGGAGCACTCGAATGAGTCGATTGTTGACGATTTGTGAGATGTTACTCTCCGAGGGAAGGTTGGACCAGGTCTGCTTTTTGTTGATACCTTTGCGGCGGTGCATCGCAAGCCAGGACAAGCCTTGGTGGCGGTCGAGAACAAGACGACTACTCAAAGGCATTAAGAAGACGCGGGCCGGTAGGCAGAAGTGGCATATACAGCTTGCGGATGAACAGCTACTTTGTATCAAGGGCCCGGAGAATGATGGCGGGAAGTCGTGGGGTTGGCGTGGCTCTTCTACGATCCGGCCGGACACAATTGAGATGGGGAAGGTGAAGGGCGACTGAATCGTTGTGGAATCTGCCTTGCGAGAGCAATGGCCCAGGGGCTAGTTTCATGACTGAGAATGAAATAAATATGCAGTACAGGTCTCTAAAAACTTTAAGTCTTCCATCTTTATGAATGAAGCGCTCTGGATAGGTCGGGATCGAACGCAAGTAAATGGATGATCGATATCCACCAAGCGCCGTGTTCACCTCCGAACAACCGGGGGATAAGTGGAGATTGGCCCCGGCGATGGCGCCGATTCAAGTCTCGAGGATAATCCGGGCTAAACCAAAAGGCTTTTGGATTGTCTTCGGATTGGTATTCATTTTGGCCCGCGTTCCTCTTGTATAATGACAAAAAGGCCTTGAATTTCGTGTTTGAAAGATCCAGTGCCGCGTTGGATCCTGAAGGATTGCCTTCCCTGACCAGCCTCGCGCCAATATTCGCTGTCGTGCTCACCTGGCACCGTTGGGGAGGTGGCGCTCTGAAGTGGAACCTTTTCAATTGAGTTTTAAGGTTTACGAGAACGAAAACGCGCCCAAATTGGCGATCGATGCTCTCTTGTCAGACGGCTTCTCAGTGCTCGTGTATCTCTTAATTCTTCTTCCCTGCTACTATCCGTATTCCCTTCCTACGGACACGATCTCCGTCATTAGATGATGGATCAAACCAGGGCAACCCCTGACTTACTTAAGATCGCCTCGAATCCTGTTGGCTGAACTTGAAATCCACTTGTGGTTTGGGGTCCTGGGCAGCCAGGCAATTGCGGCGCCAGTCTGCATCTGGATCCGGATCCCGGTAGCTCTGTTGCCTGCGATGGAGCCTTTGCCCAAGAAACCACCTTATGTTTTATCAAATT